CTGACGTCACATGTTTGCTGGGTCATATTATCATTTCATATTAAATAAGTAAACTGCATTAAATAATTGCAATGAAATCATAATGCCACTGATATGACAAATGAAAATGTTAATGACACGATTTCAGTATTCATAAGGATTCATTTGTAAGTCTGTTCATATGTAAATAATTTGTGTTTTAGGTGTTGTCAATATGTCAGTAATGCACGTTTAGATGCTGTAAATATGTAGGTATTGCATGTTTCCGTGTCTATGCAAATGTATGTTTGGTAGAACCACACTTACATAAAATACATACGAATACTCATGAGATCACGTTGTATGAGCGACACACGCTAGAGCAAACCTCTTCTGATATGTGATGTGCTTTATGTACTGTATGTGTCGATCATTGTTTAGATGTGAATAAAGCCTAAATGACATATGCTCATAATTTAAAGGGATTGTATCTCTTCACAAGACTTACATGGATTAAACCATGGCCGCAGGAACATATTTTATCGGGGGTGATGAGAGGTGGGGCTTGATGTTGTGGGGCGGTGAGGGATTTTTAACAACATCCCAATATTAAACTGCCCAAACAACACTCACTTACAGATGAACATACAAATGAATGAGGATAGAGTTATATGTGAACACTCAGATCTTATGATTAAGTAAATGCTAAATGAAATATTTAACCCTATGAACTATTTAACTGCATGAGTCTTTCCTAATGATAAAGTCCTCTATATTCAGCTGATCAACAATGTCTGTGTTAGCATGCATAAATTAATCTCTTGTGAGACATACTGCTCCTCAACCAGGTTTTGAGACATTTGAGGGTGGAGAAAATTCTCTCAGATGAAGCAATAGAAACAGGACGGCATAGGCAGAATTTTAGCAGTTTTTCTGCTTCTACAAATAGAGATCTAGTTTGAGAATGAAGTCTGGAGCGGCCTGCTGCAACATCTTGCACTGTTTCACACAGAGCAGCCCCTCTGAATCTTTAATCTCTCCATCAGCAGATTCACACACTCTGTGGCTCCAAGAGCGGTCGTCTTTTCACCCTGCAGGCTCTTTGCCACTGCCTCGCATGGCTCAAATAGTGCTTGACAGCAAATGGCACTTTTCCACTGCATGGTACGGCTCGGTTTGCGTTTCCACTGCAGTTTAGTACCGCTTTAGTGTGGGCGGGATTATAGACATGTCATTAAAATTTGTTCATTCCGCGTCATCCCGCCAAGCTCTCGCTGGATCTGTTCCTTGGCTATCAACGAGAAGAACGTCTGTACTTCCTGAGCAGACATTATTTTCTTGTTTAAAAAAGATGCTCTCATTCGAAACTGTTGCATTCACTCAAAAAAGTTGCGTTCGATCTTCGCTGGCTGTGCTGATTTAATCTAGCTGTCTAGTGTCTTGTGTCGCAAGTTCAATGACACAGGCAGTGACGATTCTCTCCGGCCAATCAGTGATCAGCAGGGTTTACACGTCACATTTTGGTAACGGTACGGCTCGCTTGGAACCTCAGCCGAGGTGGTACTGAAAAAAATACCAGGTACTGTACCCAGTGGAAAACCCCCCAAAAGCAAGCTGCGCCGTGCCGTACCACACAGTGGAAAAGCACCAAAAGAAGACGGAAGAGGTGTTTGCCTTTTAGTGCTTGCTCATAAAGTCCATGTATTTTGGCTCTTGTATCTCCTCTTACTCGTTTGTCCTCCTTCAAAGTTTCGAGTGTAGTATCACTGAGTATGAGAAACAACAGCGCTGAATCTCTTTAGTTTGCACACACCTTCTCTTTGGGCCTAAGCCCAAAAGGTTGACAGTGATGTCTTCACAGCCAAACAATGATTCAAAGAGCTGCGTTTTGCTGATTCTTTAATAAGAACAGCAACACCCTGGACAAAATGTAACCCTTCTGCTATAAGACTTATTTCACGTGCAACTTCCTGAATTACAAGATCAAGAGAATGATTGCTACAATGCACATACAGTGTCAGTGAGTGTGGGCTTACTTTTCTCAGCCGTGCCTGAACACCAGACAAGCGGACATGTTACTACCACCATCCACCAGTCTCATAAAAAGGACTTTCACACACATGAACAGTGTTTCCACAGTAGTGTCAGCACAGTTATAAAATCCTAAAAAAAATCACAATGTGACTCAAGATTACTGTCAACATACTGAACACTGCAAGAAAACTGCAGTGCTGTTGTACAATCTGCTGTCAGTCCGCAGAAATCACAGTCTTAGGCACAAGATCATTTTTGTCTGAACAGCATGCGCAAACTGGGCTGTGTCGCTCATTGTAGATTGTAGATTGTAGATTGTAGGTCCGTTCCATCATCAACTCATACAGCACACCATCCCAAGTGGTGTCACCTCTAAAAGACAGAACCTTTTTCCCTAAGAATGCAATAGAATGAAACAAAATCTCTAGGATGTTTCTCGCTGTTTTCTGCTCTTTAGCTGCAGCGACAGATAAAATTGTGTTTATTGGCGTTTGCTTTCATCCAGCAAGTACTCTGACAACGTCTTTATGAATTGGCGATTTTTCATAAAGTAAATTTTGCTGTGAGTTTGCGCCGGTTGGAAAATCCTCTTTCCACAAAAAGCCTATCTGTCTGCCCTTGCTTGGATTTGATTGGCAGCTTGGCAGCATGCGAAGCAAAACATGCAGTCCATCTTCACATCATAGTGTAGCCAACCCCACTTGTCAAACCACTGTGATTGAAAAGAACTACCTGTCCTGACTTTGTTGCGGTGATATTGAGATTAGCAGAAGGCCCAGACTCAGGTGTTGGGATAGTCCTGCTGCTGTTAGCGTTAACATGGATATCCCACTCATTTGCTGATCCGTGCTGCTGGGAGGAGACCATCATCAACAGTCCTTCTGTTATCAGACTCAGATTCATTTTTAGATTTGTTGTTGTTGTTTTTTTAGATTCTGGTGGATTTTCAAAGAAATCAGATATTATTTTTTGACTCGCCATAGAGGAAATACTCACTTGTTTTCTCATTTGAATATTCTAATTTTAGCGTAGTCACGTCACTCATGCCAGAACGACTTTTGAAATATATTTATTTCTCAAAGTTACAAAGCACATTTGACAGATATATAAAAACATATATTGCATATATAAAAACGAAATAAAGCAAAATAAAGACCTGCGGCTGGCAGATCAACGTGCTACTTCTTTTTCTCTCCAGCATGGTAGGACAGGGTGCCGCTAGCAATTTTGGGCCCTATGAAAGAAAATGAGGTTGGGTCCCCTACCGCACCAAACATACAAGCCAACCTAGTTATCCAAAATCTTTGTCTGCAATTTAATAATACTGACCTACTACTTTTGCTATTGCTTTTCACCACTAGGTATCAGTATTTAGTCAGAAACCTACCCGTAGCCGCGGGAGTATATAGGTTTCGTTTGTTCGAGATGCGTCTGCGCTGCATCTCGGCTGGGGGGCGGGGCCGCAGTAGGGGATTTTAAACAAAATCCTAATATTAAACAGCCCAAACACGTATAGATGAACATACAAATTAATAAAGAAAGAAATAAATATGAGAGCGAATATATATTTGTGCTTTTGTGATTTTAGCTCAAAAATATATTTTTTAATTTAATGTTTTTATTATTTTAAGAGGATTTTACTAAATATTAACCTCTAAATTGTGCACCATTCATCATCTGCAATATCATGGTGTAACCTCTAGATGGCTGTAGAGCCCTATATATAAATACATATGCAACCAGGTTGAAAAGTTGTTGTGTCACACATAAGACTTTTTTTCACACCCTGGTTTGAATGTACTGCACATAGAGTGTGTTTCATGTCTTTCTCATCTGTTGCCATAATGTGCATGAGTGTCGTGAAGTGCCGCGAGAGCTGCAGATGAGCAGCGAGAGTTTTCAGTGCGGAGTGAATGTGCAACGTGAAGTGGAGGATCGAGGTCATTAAAATCCATTAAATCACAAAATATAGAGAAATATGCACATACAGTGAGTTATAAACTCGTTCTCGGTGGTATGGTGACTCGGACGCTGTGTAATTTTGCATGTCAACAGCGATTGCTGACGAACATGTCCGTGTGGGGAAGCTAACCGGTTCTCACCAAAGCGTAAGTGTTGATGATGTAATTTGTATGTGTACTGTTAAAAAAACATAATTTATGCATAATATAATGCAAACCAGTGTTATTGAAACAGTTATTTTGGGAGAAAAGTGCTCCAAAGACCCTTTGTGTTTCCGGTGCGAGTGTAAAGCATTCAAGTGAGTGTCGTTTACTTTTATTGATTGTAAAAGTGTTTATCAGTGTTTCACTGGAACGAGTGTAATGGTATTATTGTTCTAACATCATGTGTTCCAAATGTTAAGGAAAAGTTTTGTATTTTGTCCCTTTATCATCTGCAGAGGGAAATCGAGTCAGCATAGGCCGTGCTAGGGTGGTGATGAGCTGTAAGTTTTAATCATCAAATTCATTTTTGAAGTCCTATGAGTACTCATTTACTAATGTAAGGTTGACTGAGTGTTAAATTGTGCAATAGTGTTTGTAATGTATTAAGGATACCCAAAAATGCAACTTCAGATTTCCTTTCCATGTTCTTTTCGTGTAATTTGAGTAGCCTTATTTGGTTTGACAACTTTGATTTGTTGACGGATGTTACACCTATGTGTCTATTTGTTTTCCAGCATGAAAGGCTACTACCGTTGTCTATGTTAGCTGGTTATTGTGAATGTGGGGAAAAAGAGGCACACTCATTTTGTTGTGAAGATCAAACTTTATTATTCTCAATGGCTGTATGTTGTAGGTAATTTTTCTGTCCCAATCCCCCAAAATTTGCATAATGCTGCGCTGTTCCAAGTGCAGTCTGGAATAAACGGCCCCATTTAAATTTTTCATCCTGTTTCCGGTGTCACAAATTCATTTTTGACAGTCAGGTAGAGTAGGAGGGAAAAAGACAACGGTAGTGGTGAAGAGGGGTCGAGTAACAGTTCCAAAGAGGTCGACGATGTGAAGTGTGGTGTGCCTGGAAAGCCTGCGGGGAAGCAAGGGACCAGCTTTCGGAAACGCAGGGGGGAGTTCACCGCTGAGATAGTTGGCAAAGGAGACTGTGAGGAATCGCCTCTTCAGGTTGCACTGCAGTGACTGTGACTGTTTTATGACTGTGTGCCATTCAAGATAGAGACTTCATATGAACATGGATCAGGACGATGATGTGTCGGCTGCCCAGGCTGGAACCAGCCATGATGTGGACAGTGCTGGGGCTGCGAGTCATGGAGATGAAGGTAATCCGGTGGCAGAACTCCAATCACAAATATTGGAGCTAGGTCGAAGACACGACCAAGTAATGTCAACCCTTGCTAATATGAGTAATGTTGCCACTAGGTCATATGTTTATATTCCGAGGGAGCATCAAATTGTGCCCTTCAGTGGTGATTATGTTAAAGATGGTCAGTCTGTCGATGAGTTTATTGATGAGGTTGAACGTGTAATTCGGGTAAGGGGTTTGAACACTGATGACCAAGTTGATTTCATGCTTTCGCATCTAAGAGGTTCAGCCCTAGATGAAGTCAAACTGCGTATGGGGGAAGAGACCAAACAACCCAGTGATCTGTTTTCATACTTGCGGGGGGCCTTTAGGGAGAAACGCACTACACCTCAGTTGTTGCATGCTTTTTATGCCCGCCGACAGTTAGAGGGAGAAGACTTCCGTGACTTTTCTCATGCTCTCTCTCAGCTGCTGAATTCTGCTCTCCAACAGTCCCACACTGCTGTGTCTGATCCCCAGCTCGCTTTAAGAGATCAGTTCATCGAAGGCATAAGAGACATGACTCTGCGTAGAGAGCTACGCAAGCTTGTCAGAGAAAAGCCTCAGTCCACCTTATTTGATGTCCGCGAAGAGGCCGTGATGTGGGTTGTGGAGGACAGACCCCGTGGTGCTAATATGGCCAGGACTCGGAATATTGTGGGTACATGTGCTGGGGAGATGTCAGAGCATTCAATTTCAGTCAGTTCTGCACAAAGTGACAGAATGGTGGCCTTGCAGGAGGTTGTAAAAATTATCACTCAGCAGGGTAAAGCTATCGGAGAACTCACTAATGCAGTTCGTGAACTCACTGTACAAAAGGCCCATTCCAGTGGTAGCCAGAGTGGAAAGCCCAAAGTCAAGCCCAAGTATACAGATGATGGCCAACCCATCTGTTTAAGGTGTGAAGGGGTGGGACATGTAGCTAGACAGTGTCCTGCACCATGTAGTTCCAAAAGCCAGTCCACTGCCTCCACAGGTTCTGTGGAGCAGGGAAACAAGGCCCCTCCATTGCTGTAAGCCGAGCAATGCGAGGAAAACCAGAAGGCTTAAGATGGTAGTACATTAACAAAAGAACGTTTCCTGGAGAGTGCAGTTGGCAAGTGCCCTGAAGTTGATATTCACATTGGGGGTGTTCCAGTTAGATGTCTGCTAGACACAGGAAGTAATGTAAGTACCGTAACTGAAAGTTTCTTTAGAAAAAACCTCCATGGAGAAGACAAGGACCTTCACTGCACCTCTAAGTGGCTAAGAATTACTGCAGCAAACAAGCTACCACTGCCATACTTGGGCTATGTTGAATTGGACATCCAGGTGATGGGGTTAACTATACCTGAGTGTGGGTTTTTGATCATCCGAGACGGAGACACTGCTGAGCCAGATCCAACGCCCCCTGGTATCATAGGCATGAATATCACCCAGAGGTGCAGAGAGTTTGCACTGACTGAGTTTGACACGACTTTAGGAGGGAAGCTGGACTCTGTGTGGAGGGAAGACTTCAATCGTGTACAGAAAGTTGAGCTGGTAAAAACAATGTCGTCAGCCAGAGTTAGTGGTAAAGGCAAAACCCATATACCAGCATCATCTCTAGCAACAGTCTATGCCAGAGTAAACAAGAAGACCACTGACACCAGTGCGTGGCTGCTGCTGGAACCAGGGAGTGCACCATTACCAGGCAGATTGATTCCCATGCCCACCTTAGTGTCGCCCCAAAGTCGAGTGTTTCCAGTTCAAGTGGTCAACTTTTCCCAGGAAGATGTTTGGCTGCCTCCTAAAGTTCGGCTGGGGATACTTACCCACTGTCAGTGTGCCGAAAGTGACGCTTGTGAGGTGAGATTCCAGCACATCTCTGCTGACCATGAGGAGGTGAGAATCGACCAGAGAGACAAACCAATGTCTGATTCTGATCTAAGTAATCTGTTAAGTAGGCTGCATATAGGAGGTACTCCAGAACAGCAAGCAAAGCTTGGTGTACTATTCATGAAGCATGCAGATATGTTCGCAGTTCGTGATGAAGACCTGGGATACACAGATCGGGTAAAGCATGAGATCCACTTGACAGATGATACTCCCATTTCTCAGCCATATCGCAGGATACCACCGACTCAGTTTGAGGAGGTCAAAGAGCATATCTCGGGTTTACTTCGGAAGGGGGTCATACAGGAAAGCTCAAGTTCCTTTGCATCACCCATTGTTCTGGTGCGCAAGGCTGATGGAAGTCTGAGGCTGTGTGTGGATTATAGGAGACTAAACTCCAAGACTAAACGTGATGCTCTTCCATTGCCGCGCATCGATGAGAGCTTGGATGTGTTGGGTGGAGCGCAAGTATTCTCGACAGTAGATCTTGCTAGCGGTTACCATCAAGTTGCGGTCCATGAGAAGGACAGACCTAAAACAGCCTTCACTACACCATTTGGCCTTTATGAATACTGGCGGATGCCCTTCGGGCTATGCAATGCACCCGCATTGTTCCAGCGGCTCATGCAGGCCATCATGAGTGACTTAGTTTTCCAAATTGTGCTCATCTACTTAGATGACTTGTTGGTGTACTCTTCCACCTTTCATGAACATCTGGTGCGCCTTGAAACGGTATTTAAAAGGTTGAAAGAAACTGGGCTGAAGGTGAAAATAGAGAAGTGTCATTTCCTGCAGGCAGAAGTGAGATTCCTTGGCCATCAAGTTTCAGCTCAAGGTCTGAGTACAGACCCTGATAAGATAAGTGCAGTTCAGAAATGGCCAGTCCCTAGCACTCTCAAGGAACTCAGATCATTCTTGGGGTTCTGTAGTTATTACAGAAGATTCATCGAAGGGTTCTCCCAGATAGCTGGGCCATTGCATGATGTAGTGAATGTGTGCCTCAGAGAGACAAGTCCCGTCAAGGCAGCTCAGGTGTTTAAGAGCTCTTGGTCTTCCCAGTGTCAGACGGCATTTGAACGTCTCAAAGACAAACTTACCAGTGCCCCAACACTGGGGTATGCTGATTTCACACTTCCATTTGAGATTGAAACTGATGCGAGCAACCTGGGGTTGGGAGCTGTCTTGTACCAGCATCAAAAGGGTAAGAAGACTGTGATCGCATATGCCAGTAGGACGTTGAGAGGGGCTGAGAATAAAAAAAATTACAATCAAAATATAACATATAACACATATAAACTGCAGAGTGAAAACTTAAGACATAAAGCACGTTACTTGTATCAGGTTATTCATTTATATATTTTCAGACATTAGTAAAAACTACATTTAGTAAAAGCTGAAATTTAAATGTTGATTTGAAGTGTCAGTTATTATTATTGTAGTCAAATCTGGACAGAGAAAGCATTTTGTTAGACTACTCATACTAGCTAAAGTGTGATAAGTCACACAAAAGTCATCAGAAAAAATATTGGCTCAGTGTGACCAGGGCAATATTTTAAAACATAGAATTGAGTGTTTACATACCATGAACAGAGATATTCTGTGGTCGAGATGTGTATCCTATTTGAAAAAATCTGCATCGCAGTCAGCAACTAGTAAATTGAGATTCCAGTAGCTTTACTGGCATGGTAAAAAGGCTTTACAAAGCATTGACAGCGCTTCGAACCAATGGTGTTGAGCATTATCAAATTTAGAGGCTACAATTCATAGTTTTCAGTCACTGATTCTGATCTAAGTAATCTGTTAAGTAGGCTGCATATAGGAGGTACTCCGGAACAGCAAGCAAAGCTTGGTGTACTATTAATGAAGCATGCAGATGTGTTCGCAGTTCGTGATGAAGACCTGGGATACACAGATCGGGTAAAGCATGAGATCCACTTGACAGATGATACTCCCATTTCTCAGCCATATCGCAGGATACCACCGACTCAGTTTGAGGAGGTCAAAGAGCATATCTCTGGTTTTCTTCGGAAGGGGGTCATACAGGAAAGCTCAAGTTCCTTTGCATCACCCATCGTTCTGGTGCGCAAGGCTGATGGAAGTCTGAGGCTGTGTGTGGATTATAGGAGACTAAACTCCAAGACTAAACGTGATGCTCTTCCATTGCCGCGCATCGATGAGAGCTTGGATGTGTTGGGTGGAGCGCAAGTATTCTCGACAGTAGATCTTGCTAGCGGTTACCATCAAGTTGCGGTCCATGAGAAGGACAGACCTAAAACAGCCTTCACTACACCATTTGGCCTTTATGAATACTGGCGGATGCCCTTCGGGCTATGCAATGCACCCGCATCGTTCCAGCGGCTCATGCAGGCCATCATGAGTGACTTAGTTTTCCAAATTGTGCTCATCTACTTAGATGACTTGTTGGTGTACTCGTCCACCTTTCATGAACATCTGGTGCGCCTTGAAACGGTATTTAAAAGGTTGAAAGAAACTGGGCTGAAGGTGAAAATAGAGAAGTGTCATTTCCTGCAGGCAGAAGTGAGATTCCTTGGCCATCAAGTTTCAGCTCAAGGTCTGAGTACAGACCCTGATAAGATAAGTGCAGTTCAGAAATGGCCAGTCCCTAGCACTCTCAAGGAACTCAGATCATTCTTGGGGTTCTGTAGTTATTACAGAAGATTCATCAAAGGGTTCTCCCAGATAGCTGGGCCATTGCATGATGTAGTGAATTTGTGCCTCAGAGAGACAAGTCCCGTCAATGCAGCTCAGGTGTTTAAGAGCTCTTGGTCTTCCCAGTGTCAGACAGCATTTGAACGTCTCAAAGACAAACTTACCAGTGCCCCAACACTGGGGTATGC